AAAAAGGCAAATAATCCACTTCAAAAATGGGTACAGGACATGAAGAGACACTTCAAAGAAAATATTAGGGGTAACAAATAGATGAAGAAATGCTTGCCAGTAGAGTCACAAATCAAAGTAACAATGAGCTACCATCTCACCCCAGCATTAATATCAAAGTTCAAAAAAAGAGAGAACAACAAATTCTGACAAAGATGTGGAGGAATAGAACTCTCACACACTGTTGGTGGGACTGTAAAATGGTGCAACCACTGTGGAAAACAGGTATAGTACTTCCACCAAAAGTTGGAAATAGAAATAACATGTGATCCAGCAATCCCTCTACTCGGTGTATATCCTAGAGAAATAAGAGCTGTATGCACACCCATATTCAGCACAGCACTACTCACAGTAGCATAAAGATGGCTACAATCTAAATGCCCATCAGTGGAAGAATGGATAAACAAACTTTGGTGCATACACACAATGGAATACTATATAATGCTGGAAACCAATGATGAATCTCAAATACTTCCTAACATAGATAAACCTGGAGCACATTATGTTGCAGACCGTGTAAGACTAGTCAGAGGTTCGAGGCCCTCTAGGGCCGAGTGTAACAAATGAGGCCACTGGCAGTTATTGGCAAATTGCTTTCATATTAATATTCAGGTATATATATTAAATTAATACACTGGAGCCTTTGACAATCCACAGATAAATGTGGTATTTTCCTAAAGCCAAGACTAAAGGTTGCAAGGTTAAGCCTTTCTCCAAAGGATTAACTAAAAATGTCTTAGCTACTTCACAGTTCTTTGTTCCATAGACAAAGAACCCATCCTCCCTAATCCTTTTCCAGGTGCAGCCCATTCACCTGGGCATCTGGAGTCCTCCTGCAGACCTGGCTCAGGAAGCCAAAGCAGCAGGACTCCGCCCAAGCTTTTGTCTTTATCTCTCACCTTCCCCCAACTATGCTCAGGGGCTACAGATATGTTAATTGGGCCTGAGAATCCTAGTTGCTGGCCTGGGATTCGAACCAGCGAAGTATGATGTAAAGTTACCTGAATGTCTGGAAAAGTACTGATGTTAGCTATACCTTGCCTAAGTCCCTCCCAGCTTGGTGTGAAGCTCCTCCCCTGAATAAAGCAGAGGCCCGGGCCTCCCCAGGTGTGCATTACTGGTTGGAAGGCATGGAGTAAAGATGGCAGTGCATTACTGGCTGGCAGGCATGGAGTAAAGATAGCAGTGCATTGCTAGCTGGGAGGCATGGAGTAAAGATTGCAGAGCATTACTGGCTAGAAGGCATGCGGTAAAGATTGCAGGGCAGTGAGTTGCTGCCTGCAGAGGCCACGATGCCTGTACTCCAAGGCCTGCCCACCTGTGATGTATCCACCTTGGCTTTGGGGTGCCTCTTTGTCTCTCTCTTTGTCTCTTTCTGTGTATTCTTGATATATATGAATCGCCGTCAGGTATCCTCTCCTCGTGAACTGAACCCCAATGTCGAGGCGGGTCCCCGACAACATTATGTTGAGTGAATTTATTAAATGCATGGAGTCAGTTCCGACTTATAGTGACCCTGTATAGGGTTTCCAAGAGTGGCTGATGGGGTTGAACTGTCACCATTGTAATCCTGTCCATAGGGAACATATAATCTATATTGGAACAAAAGAACTGTACATGTTTTACATATAAAGAAGATTCAAAAGGAGCACATCAGTATGCTATTGACACATAATATGTTACTGATATGCCATTATGCCACTAGAAAGTCTAATTTATAAAAGAACAGAAGTAGGAGGAAGGTAATAAAAGTTGAAGAAACCATTTTTTAACACAATTAGCAATCAGCCCTGAGACATTACAACTTGGAGGGAGTGATAAGAAAGTTCAATGGCAAGTTTCAAGAATAATATAAGAGTCTGAACATAAAGCAAACCTAGAATTCTTTAGTATTTCCTCTGAGGCATAATTAGAAAAAACTTTACTTAAGAACCAGTGACAATCTACTCATCCCAATATTGTTTAGTAACTCAATACCAAGCAATATTAGCAATGAAGAAATATGTAAAGAGATTACAATAAATTTTCAAATTCTACCCCCCTTTTATTACTAGGTATATTAATGATTTCTTTTGACCTCACTATTTGCCTCTCCTTTTAGATTGGCTTCTTTTGAGAACACATTTAAAAATAATGAAAAATATTATATTAACTTCAAACTACTGGCTATAAACATTTTGTACATACACTGATTGGACTGTTGAAAATATTACTGTTTTAAATGGACAAGCATGCAAAAATCAAAATGTCAAAAGTTTTATGGAACAAAAACACATATTACCATCTGAATTGGGTCAATAATCTTGAAAAACCCTATATCAGCTATGTGTCTGATTTGATAATTAAGCTGTTTTATTATTAGTTACAAGGCCAAGATGTGACACAATCCTTTAAATTATAAAGGGATTTTCAGAATCAAGAAGAATCACAAATGTTCAGCTACCTTATTAGTCATGTTCCATCAGAAAACACTAAGAGGTTAGAACATTTTATATGGTACCAACTTGGCTTTCAAATAAGTCTATGAGCATTTATAGCTATGATAACAGTTTTTTTCTTTCATAGGTGAAAATGACCCCACATTAGTAGGTTATGAACTTCAAGCTGTTTTCCCAATATGGTGAGGGATGTATGAACCCAGCCACATTCTTTTCTTGTGTCCCAGTGCTGGTATGATCTTTATAGATAGAATGAAGTGTACTGGCTCCAAAAGATTTTGGATCCAGCATCTGTGATAGAATTCACCCTCAAAATAATCAGATGAAGATAAGAGGGCATTATTATCACTCCAAATTTATATGTTGTTGTTAAGTGCCATCGAGTTGGCTCCGACCCATAGCGACCCTATATAGGGTTTCTGAGGAGTGGCTGGTGAGCGTGAGTCACAGACCTTGTGGTTCAAACTTGCTTTGCAGTCCAGTGCATGAATCCACAGCGCCAAACCAGGACTCCATCAAATATATATAGCAAGACATTAAAGTTTAATCATATCACATCATTTGCAAAGGACAATAAAGGGCAGAGTAGTGACAATCAGGAGTCCTGGTGTGGCATTGTAAGATAAGCACTGTTAACACAAGGTCAGTTGTTCAAACCCACCAGTCACTCCTTGGAAACCCAATACAGGCTTGCTATGGGTTGGAACCAACTTAATGGCCCTTAACAACAACAACAAAGTGACAATCAAAGGGTTGGCAGGGTAACAGAATTTCTTGGCGAACCTTAAGGAGCACTGGCGGCTCACTTGACTGCCAACCAAAAGGTCAGCAATTTGAAACCACCATTTCTTCACGGAGAGAAACATGAGGCAGTCCTCTTCTGTGAAGGTTTGTTGTTGTTGGTAAGTGCTATAGAGGCAGTTCTGAGGAGAGGCTGATAGGTTTGAACCACAGACTTTGCAATTAGCAGTCCAGTGCTTACCCTCCAGCATCACACCAGGACTCTCTGTAAAGATGACAGCCTTGGAAATCCTATGGGGCAGTTCTACGTTGTCCTATAGGGTCACTATGAGTTAGAATAGACTCAATGACAACAGATGGGAGGGCTGGTTAGTTGGTTGGAGAACTTTAAAAAATATCTCATACCGTAGTAGTTACGAGTCGGGCTGTTAACCTCAAGATCAGCAGTTTGAAACCACCAGCCGTTCCATGGGAAAAAGATAAGGTTTTCTGCTCCCATAAAGATTTACAGCCTCAGAAACCCTATGCAGGGTCACTGTGAGTCGGAACCGACTCCACAGCACACCACCACCACTACCATACCCTACCCAGGAGTCCTAGTGTGGCGATGTGGGATAAATCACTGGATTGCAAAGTCGGTTTTAACTACAAAGTCAGCAGTTCAAACTCACCAGCTGTTCCTCGGAAAGTCTATATAGGGCCACTATGAGTTGGAACCAACTCGATAGCACCCTACCCCTCCTACTCCTACCAGAATTCTGAGAGTCTCAACTCGGAATATAAGTTTGGGAATCACCGAGTGCGTTATGCCATCTCCAATATATCTGGGGCAATAACATAGATTGACAGCTAGTGCTATCGGAGGCTAAGTAAAAAACAATTTCTAGTATAGTTTCAGTTAATACATGCTTGAGTTTATTCTGTACGATGTGTTTAAGCATGTTCCTATGATCAGTGATTTGGTGCTGTAGGATCAGCACTGGACTGCTAACCACAAGGTTGGCAGTTCAAATACACCAGGCACATCTCAGAAACCATATACAGGGTCACTATGAGTTAAAATTGACTGAACAGCGCTTAACAACAATGGCTGCAGACACGTTCTCACACAGGACACAGGACAATCACTGGGGCTTTTTATGAAGATGTTTTAAGATCATTGAAATCTACATTCACCAGGAAGAAGGCCAGGAACGTTGTACAGAGGAATTTTATTATTATTATTATTATTATTCCATCACAAGAATGTACCTGCTCATTCTTTGAGTAACAAGGACTGTCCTATAAGAATTTTGTTGGAAAATCTTACTCCATATACCCTACAGCCCTATTCTTGCTCCTTGGGACTTTTTTTTTGTTACCCAAACTCAAAGAACATTTGAAAGGAAGATAATTTGAATTCCTCGAAGAATTAGAGAGATACAAATACCACCTTCAAAAGACCTAGATGGGGAATATGTCAAAAAGAAATAGCTTAAATAATTTTAAAAATTCTATATTTCCTTGAATAGAGAAAATTTGAATATTGTAGTTGAGTCACAATAATTATAGAAGTTTTGCCATTGATGGCTTTTATTTTGCTCTTAAGAAGTTGTGTTATATAATCCCATTGATTCCACAAAAAGGGGCAATATATAGGGCATGGCATGGAAACATTTGTTTTACTTAACCAGGTGTTATGGTGACACCATCCTCCCAAATGAAGTGATACCCAGCTTTTTCAGACAAACACAAATTCCAGTTTAGCACTCCAGAAGAGATTTTTAAGTTGCTACTACGTACCTGTTCTAGGTGAGTTTCCCCCCTTTTCTTATTATGAAGCTGAAGATAAGAGTCAGTTTTAGGAGTGGGTAATCCCAAGGTCAGCTTGTTTTTTTCTACAAAATATTGTTTGGACTTTCTTCGCCGTAGGCCACGTGATCCCGGCAAGAAAACCTCATTATGTGAACTTGAGCTCTTTATGTATTGGGAGAGATTGCTGGACTTCTGGTCACTATCACTCAGCTCCGAAAAGGGCTGGGTGCAGAGGGTGCCACGCTGGTAGTTTGGGCTTACAAATTCACTACCAAGTAAAGAGGCTTCGCTTTGTGGGCTCTTTGGTTCGTCTTTTCCCCCTGGAGGTTCCACTGAGGTCTCCTTGGAAGGGTAGAGTGGATCCAAAGTCAGATTTTCTGTAGAGCTGTCAAGAGACTCCAACAATGTTTCCACAGTCAACAACTGTCTTTCCTCTTCCTTGTTCTTCCAGTTTGGGTCGTATCGGAGGTCTGAGTACTTGTCGTCCACTGGTTGTTGGCTGCTCAAAGCAGAAGAGAAATGTCAAGTCCTTAATCAGAATAAATTCACTCATTATATTCAATTTGACAATTTTATTTTGAATTAATCTCTGTCTTTCTCCTGTAATTTTTCTCTCTTACTATCTATGTATTAGTGTCCCTAGGTTATGCAGTGGTTAATATGCTTGACTGCTAACCAGTTCAAGTCCACCCAGCGGTGACTTGAAAGAAAAGTCTGGTGATCTACTTCTGAAAATCAGCCACTGAGAATTCTACAGAGCACAGTGCTACTCTTACACATATGGGGTCACTAGGAATCAGGTCCACTTAAGGGCAATTGGTTGGCTTATCAGTGTGTTATAGTTAGATCCCAGGCTTAAATTAGGCCTATGCACAAGGGCAAAAAAGATTTATTTATCCAAGTTCCTTAAACTAAGGAATAAACATGGGAGAAAGTTGATTTCTAAATGCCAACTGAAGACAACTTAAAAACAAATTTCTATAATGTTAAACCAGTGAATACTTGTGTACACTAACAATAGTTAAGTATTTCAGCTGGTGCAGATCAAATTGGGTGCCCCCCTAACCTGGTAATATGCACACTTTGGTTACTTACTTAGGAAGGAAAATATGGACAAGTGAGAATTTCACCTAGACAACATTTGCCAACATCTGCACTTTTTGGGAGGAAGGTAAGAACTTATCCATCTGAATACCCATATAGGTTTATCCTTTTCAAAGATTTTATTTTCTACTTCCATTGTTTTTGTAGATTTATCAAATGTACTACAGAAATATCCTCAAGGCTTAAAATCAGATGTACACAAAACTCAGTGGGCATGTCGCAAACACCTTAAGGTTTTGGACAGGTCGGTTTGAATGAACGGTTAAGCATACGGTACTGTCTGAGGGAAGTGAACTAGTAGGTAATCTACATATGACCCAAAATAAAGTCCTCTCTTTCCCCTAAGACAATCTCAATTTGTAAAGTACCCCTAGTCTTAACCAAAAAAGAAAGAAAGGAAAAAAAAAAAAAAAGCTGGTAATATGGCATATTTAATGGCCTCTTTGATCTTCAAAAGCTAAATGGGAGAGATTTTCCTTCCTTGAGTACAGTAGATGCTATCCTCTAATCAAAAAGAAAATGTAAATCACCTAGGCTTTTTATGCTATTTGATATTCCCGTTTACAGAAGACATAATTTTATGCTGGGTAAACAAACTAATGGTCCCCCTAATACTAATTTATTCTTCTTCATGTGGACCTAGAGTTCTTTGATTTGATGTAAAGCAAAAAGTAGAGCAAAAAGCCAAAACTCCCATGTCTTACTAAACTGTCATTTTGAATTTGTAAGTTCACATATTAAGATGGAAAACTTCTTGAAAGAGGCTGCTTTTCCTTTCCTGCCAAGAGAATAAAATAATATTCTCCTCCAGTAAATTGCTTGGATGGAGATGGGCCACATTTTTCAGAAAATCAGACATCAAACGGGACATCCCACCACTCTCTAAGCCCCATGGGGCTGACCACGCATCTTGTTTCTGGTGAGGATGAACTCAGTATTTCTTTGCTCTGTCTTGCACTTGGCTCTAGAGTCATTGGGTTTTGTACTTGGGAAGTGGTGTAGTCCATCAGGGCACAACCTGGACCTGAAACTGGACAGACCTGAGGTCAAGTTCTGAGTCTGTCACTACCTATGTGTACATCCACTGGCAAATCATTTAATCTTTGAGCCAGCTTCTCTCATCTGGGAATTGGGATCAATTTTATGAGTACCTACACTATTTATTTCTCAGGACTGCTTAAGGATTGAAATGCGACTGATGTACTTTAAAGTGCTCTGTGTTTATTGAGCGTTCCATGACGGCAATCTTGTCTCCCCACCTAGACGCTAGGGCCCTGGGGAGTGGGGAGTGTGGGTTATTGTTTCTTCTCCATTCCCTGCCCTAGCATTAGGGATATGAAGACACTCCTCTGGACATGAAGACAAATAAATTCCTCTTGAGTACATAGCTGAGTCTTTAAAAATACTCTAGTCGGCACAGATATAGCATGTTGGTGGTGACTGTGTGCCACTGAGTCAGTTCTGACTCATAGTAACCCTATATAGGGTTTGTTGTTAAAGTGCTGTGAAGTTGGTTCTGACTCATACCAACCCTGTATAGGGTTTCCAAAGAGCACTGGTGAGTTTAAGCCTCCGACCTTGCAGTCCATCGCATTAACCCCATCTTTAGGGAAGCAGAAAACTTTGTTTTTCTCCTGCGGAGCAACTGGTAGATTTGAACTGCTGACCTTGTGGTTAGCAGCCCAGTTCATAATCCACTATGCTACCAGGGCTCCTTGATATAGCCTTTGTTGTTGTTGCTAAGTGCTGTCGAGTCAGTTCTGACTCATAGTGACCTTGTATAGGGTTTTCAAGGAACAGCTATTGAGCTTGAACCACTGACCCTGTAGTTGAAACTGACTTTTCAGTTCAGCACAGTAACCCACAGTGCCATACCAGGACTCCAGATATAGCATTAGATATTAATTAAAAAAAAAAAAACAACTCAATTAGAATATAAACATGCATTGGACCAAATTAGCACATGATTTTAGGTTGTATCTTGTTCTAAGTTAAATACAAGGTCAAACTCTGGTTGTTTAGTTGGGGAAAGAAAAGATGAATGGCACTTCAATTAGTAGATTCAAGTAAATAAAGATTTTTTTAATGAAGAAAGATGCAGTTTTCCTTTATCCAGGACATTCTGAAAAGAGAAATAAATTGAACGTTCCTCATCCATTTATTTATAATTTGACAAAATGTTTTCTCATTTATTCACCAGATATCTGCTGAGCACTCACTAAACCAGGGAGAAGTAGTGATAAATGGCTCAGAGGCAGATTCAGCCAGTTGGAGGATACACACAAGGAAACAACCAATTCACAATAAGGAGTGTCCCCTGAACACTATGGTGCCTTCAGGTCTCTACAGAGGGATTGTCTAACCTCATTGTGTGAGGTGTGTGAAAGCCTTCTGCAGGAAGGGAGAGCTTAGCTGAGCTGTGTGGTGAAGAACAGCACAAAATGCAAGCCAATCAGAGGGAACGGCGCGTAAAACAGAGGGGAAAGAGAATGCAGTACTTATACAGACAAATTCTGATGGATCGTTGGAGGAGGAAAGATGGAAGAGTATAGCTGAGTATCAAGCAGAGGTGAGGGCTTGAAGGGCTTTGCACACTAGATGAAGAAGTTTGGGCTTTAATGAAATTAATTAGAGAGTTTGGGCTGAAGTTTGGCAAAAAAAGAGATTAATCTGAGAGCAAAAGATCTTAGTAAGACATACATACTGCTAGATAGACTTTCTGGAAAAAACTATCTTCAGAGGTTATAAAGTCTTTTTGTTTTCAGAAAGCTCTAGAACAGGGAATCCTTTACACTGTATAGAAGAGAAATTGGCAGCCTTTCATAAGTGACATGTCACCAGGTGATTACTGGGGTTGGACTCCTGGTGTGGTGCTGTGGATCAGGACTGTGAACCACAGGCTGATAGTTCAAATCCACCAGCTGCTCCTTGGAAACCCTATACAGGGTCACTAAGAAATTTGGAAGACAACTATCTGGCCAACTGATTGGAAGAGATCAATATTTATGCCCATTCCAAAGAGAGGTGACCCAACAGAATGCGGAAATCATCGGACAATCTCTTTGATATCTCAAGCGAGTAAAGTTTTGCTAAAG